GAACATTTATTTTCTCATGCATAACCATTATGATTTTCCTTGAAATATTCCATCTTGAAAGTAACTGACTTGAGATTTCAAATATTTCTTTTATGGTCATTATTCAGCAGTTAAAATTATTTTATTTATTTTTTAACAGACTTGTTATACATCCAACCATTGTCAGAAAAAAGGACGAGTGCTAGTAAAGTTGCTGTAGATATGGAAAAGTCAGGTATTTTAATATCATTAATTGTTTGATGTTCCCCATATTTGGCTAAAGGCAACAGGATTAGCATTTCTTAAATGGCACCTTTTCAAAATTAGCTTTTATGCAAGAAACAAAGTATCTGATGATGTAGATATTTTTTCTCATTTATTGTATGATTTGAAAGAGCACTACAAATTGCAGAGCTGTATTGTCAAAATTTGAAAAACAAAACTGCATGCTATAGTTCCTTTATAAATATAGGTTAATGCAACAAGTAATTATGAAAATTTTTGCTCTGCTTTGCAATTTGTATTTCCATTATATAATTCCATTACAACAAAAACTCTTTATTCTAGATAAAACCTTAATTAATTTGTTTTTAGTTATGGTCTAAATTATATCTGTCTATATTTTATTTTTTACTTTTTTATCAGACTTATTACACACCCAACCATTGTCAGAACTCACGGGGGGGAATCACGTGACTTTGTATAGTAATACCCGAGAGAAAATGGCGACTGCTGAGCCCCGGTAAGTACCTCATTATGTTAAATTAAGGTGACAAACGTTTCTTAAATCAAAACAAAACCTAGCATATCATATGCGCTTTAATTTTCTTCAAATGACAATACAAAGTGCATTATCCTACGTTTTGTGGTTTTTGAGAACATTGTTTGAATTGTGTGAAAATTGTACATTCAGCGATAGTAATTCGCACGAAGCGATATAACTTGGTACCAAATTAAATGAAAATAAGCCTTCTTTTTTCACTTATGACACCAAATCAATCATTTTATTGACATCTGTTCTTGTAGAATTCCATATAAAATTTTGTTCGAAGGTCTGTAGCCTACAAATGTTCTTTGCAAGTGTTTAGTAAGTAAAACGACCTATTTCTGGATAGTAAGTTGCACGAAAACAAAATAGTAAGTTTCACGCACAGTTTCCAATAGCTTACTAAAATGTGACGAAACTATTTTATAATTCTTTTGGTTTCAAATTTGCAAGTGTGTTCCGTCTACGGTAACAGAGTACAAATATCGAGAGAGCATTTTAATAATAATTCATATTATTTCATAATACATAGAGGATATTTGTTTGTTTGTGTGTAAGATGAAATTTTATTTCATCGAGTGGGCTTTAAAAACAGTATTCTCACGAGTGGCGAAGCCACGAGTGAGAATACTGTTTTTAAAGTTCACGAGATGAAATAAAATTACATCTTACACAACAAACAGACAAATTTTCTTTTTATTTTATGCTTAAAAACAAGTTAAAACGAAATTTCCATAATTTTAACGTTAATATTAAAACTGTTTCCCCCATTGAGAGCCCCATTTATTCGGAATTTCTCATTAAAAAAAAGAAGTCTTGAGCTGAAAAATAAGTCCGCCAATCAACATTAAATGACGGTGATATTTATTAATTTTATTAAAAAATATGAATGATCGCTTGTTTTGATAATAAAAACAAACAATTCTTGTAGGAGAAAAAGTCCAACCATCCATCCATATTTCTGTTACTTAGTGCGAATTTATATTAGACCTGGCTTTGTAAATTGTAAGCGGCAGCCATTTTTTAAAGTTGTGTATTTCATGGGAGGAAAATAATTGTGTAAGATTCAGAGGGATATAATTTGGATTTGTTAGTCATACACATTTTTAAAAGAAAGAAAACTTATTTGAGGATTGTAACAGACAAAAAATAAGTGTTGACAGATGTGAAAACATTCAGAAAAGGAGCTAGGAAAATGGAAAACTTGGAAACCTGCTCAAGAACGCTGGGTTGATTTAACTTATTCTTCGAGTGATGGCTGGCAATGCTTTCAATTTTTCATAAAGCATACGGCAGCTATTGCTCGTAGGATACTTTAACATTCCCAAATGTCATCAAGAGCAGTTTTGCATGGGGAAGGAATGTATTTTAGAGACTGTCAAAATGAAACCAAAAAAAACGAAATTTGGTGATTGGAATTTCATGAATTTGAATGAATAGAAGTAAGTTTTCTTCTTTTTATTACTTTTGACATTTAAGTTATTTATCAATTTCAGTTTTGCTTTTTCTTTAAACAGCCTGACATTGTCAGAATTGTCAGCAAAAATAAAACTGAGGTACCACATGGGGAAAATCTTAAAAAAGTAGTTTCGTCATTGAAAAGAGTGAAATTATATTTTGATAATTTTCACTGTGAAATTACCAAATATAATTTTCACGGATAAATCAGTAATCCACTGAAAAGCATAAAATAAAGTCATGTATTCATATAATTTCATAAAAGATTACTTAACTTAAAAAAAACTAAATGAGACATATTGACATTGATACTCAACAATGTACGTTACACTTGGCCCTTTTTCACGTTAGACTGGACCCACATCCGTCATCTTTAGAACTAGATATATAAAGAAATAACTGTGCAGAAGGAAATATTACAACACCATCATTTACTTTTCAGTATCTGCAATTTGGACCAAAAACGCAAAGGAGAAGACATTCGCCATATCACATTGATATTTAATGCCATCATAGAACTGGTATACAAAGTTTTTATTAAATTTATTCTTTTTATACACTGGCATATTTTATAAATAAACCCAAGAAGTTTTGTTAAACGTTATGTATTACTATACGCTTATTTTCTTACCATGTGCAAATGTGTTGCGTCGTAAACTCTTTCTTTTTGTTTGTGATAGCGTAAGTAAATAAGATATTCAGGGCGTCCATGGCTGAGTGTTTAAAGTCACTGATTTTATACACATGCTTCTCACCGCTATGGATTCTAGTCCGACCAGAGTCCTTGAATTCTTTCATCAAACTAGCTAACAAAATGTCGGTGCTTTAACTAAGGTGTCCCGACATTGACGGTGTGATTTGAAACCCAGCATCAAACTTTAAAGATTGTTTTAAGTGAATATTTTTTTTACTCCACTTGCAGTGTAAATCTTTGACCGTTTGATTTCAAATATTCGTTTTTCTTTAAAGGTCCATTATGCATCTTAAATGCTATCATTTTTATTAAAAAATCTGTTTATTTTTGGTATCTTGTTACAGTTTCCGAAAACATACTCATTTGCTAGATACTCAAACTATCTTTTGCATCTTTGGTTCTGTTGGAAAATGGTATACCTTTAGTGAATAAGTATTTCGTATGGAAGTCAAAATACTACTTTGTTTACATTTTGCTACCTTAACAACACATCACTTAATGTTCCGCGCTACCTTTTTCAGTTTTAATAAAATACTATCGTGCGTTTTATCCATTATTTAAACATTACGATACACATGTTTGACATTTCTAAAGAATTAAAACAGCATGGATTTCTTAGGCACAATGTGCCTTTAATCATAACTTGTATCAGTGTATCATTGTTGTTTGTTTGTTGTTGATGTTGTTGTTTTTTGGTTTTTTTGTGAGAAGTTATTTTGTTCTTGCGCATTTTTCAATATATTTTCATAAATTATGTAACAAAGTGACTAAATGTAACAAATACCGCCATATAAAAACATCAGCATTCAGTTAATAACCATCACCATACCAATTAACAAGCAATTATATTTGTTCATCTTCTTTCTAATTACAGTAAAATGAGGGCCAAGACACACCTGAAACTGCAGAGGTCAAAGAACTACTATCGCAACAGAAAAATAACACTGAGCCGTGTAATATCAAATCCCATCAAAAGTTCATTTGATATATTATAATAACAACCAATTAAGCATTCGTCCTATAGACAAAAAGTGAAATATTTGATCTTGAATAATTGAAATAAGTATTTTCTATCTCTTTACATATGAACTTTAACTTTCTTTTAATGTATATGTATGCTAATGGAAACTGTGCGTGAAACTTACTATTTTGTTTTCGTGCGACTTACTATCCAGAAATTGTTCGTTTTACTTACTATACACTTGCAAAGAACATTTGTAGGCTACAGACCTTCGAAAATATATTTTATATGGACTTCTACGATAACAGATGTCAATAAAATGATTGATTTGGTGTCTTAAGTGCAGAAAGTAAGCTTATTTTCATTTATTTTGGTACTAAATTATATCGCTTCGTGCGAATTACTATCGCTGAATGTGCAATTTTCACACAATTCAAACAATGTTCTCAAAAACCACAAAACGTAGGATAATGCACTTTGTATTGTCATTTGGAGAAAATTAACGCGCATATGATACGCTAGGTTTTGTTTTGATTTAAGAAACGTTTGTCACCTTAATTTAACATAATGAGGTACTTACCGGGGCTCAGCAGTCGCCATTTTCTCGTGGGTATTACTATACAAAGTCACGTGATTCCCCCCCGTGGAACTAGAGAAGAGCACAAGCGAAGTTGTAACAAATCAGGAAAAATCAGGTATTCAAATTTTGACTATTTAACCTTGTAGATAGCAATTTGTTAGTAAAGGTATTTCTTAGCAGTTATTGAATAAAGCGAGGTAATATTTTTTGCTGTGTTTAACAATCTAATTCACTGTATAAAGTCACAAAAATTGATTATTTCTTAATTCTATTTGTAGTTCCAATCAAAATATGATATATTGTTCAGTTATTTTAAATGTGGTGCTTTAACAGAACATATTCAGATACTTTAGCTTTAACTTTTGTAGTGATTTTTAGTTTTAGGCTCTGTGAATAAACGTTCCCCTCGTGATATTTTCTGTATATGTTTAATCTGCTTCAGACAATCTTTCAGCTTATCAGTATGATAATGGTTAAAAATGACAGATGAATCAATCTAGAACTATTACTTTTACATCTCCTACATAATGAATGTTAATTATGTCCAGGTACAAAATTATGAATCTTTATATAAACAAGAGTTATGATTAAAGATATTCATCAAAATAGGTTCAGTTATGTTTGAATGTTACCAATATTCATTGTTGTTTTATATGCTGTTTGAAAAAAACAGCCACTTATCTATAAGAACTAACACATGTCCACTTAGTAACAACAGATCTAATAATTCTTTTTCAAAAAAGATCTGGGGATGTCTCATGTGCCAGGAAAGAGAAAAGCAGGTGATTCTACCATGGACTTGGTCCATGAAGATCTTTCCAAGTCAGGTATTGTTGTCTTCAGCATGCTTATAGAACTAGTTAAATAAATCAAGACATAATCTGTTAAGGATTTTACTAGCCACATGGAGCTGAGTTATGTTAGAGCAGTCATTGATAAAATCAATGATCAACATATTTTTGATATTTTATTTCTTTGATCAATTATCATTTTCGATTGTAAAATATTGATAACTGAACTAAATTTAAAATTAAAAAGTGTCTAGTAATGAACAAAATTGACTGAAATATTAGAGGAAACCTGTTCCATTTCAAAATGGCATGTCTAAAAGTTGCACCACTGTTTGAAAATACATAGCTTTGTTAATGAAATAATTGTTTACATTTCTAAGAAGATTGAAAATTAAATGACATTTACACATCCAGTCTTAGTGCTTTTGTTGAAGATATGTACACATGTATGCATGTATGCAAGTTTATACAGTTTACTATTTTAAAAAATAGATAAGATGCGTCGGTGTATGCCAATATATGCCTCTATATATGGGTATTGACAATATGCAAAAATGATATATTCCCTTACACCTATAGTAATGGCGAATGTTATATCTAATAGAAACTGAAATAGCTCTTAATATTTATAGATATTATTAGACTCCCGTTTGAAAAAGTGAGGGCATATGTCTTTGCTACTGTTGGACGGTCTGTCTGTCTATCGATCCGCCAACAGTTTCTGTTCATTTCCTTTGCAGAGCTTGCAGATACTGGAGTGAAATTTGGTTAAAAGATTTATCATAAGAAAAGTTGTGTTTTGGGTCAAATCAAGCAATTTTTGATAGTTATATTTCTTGGACTTAATTACAATAACTTGCAGTTTCTACTCATTTTCTTGGTAGGGATTACACATACTAAAATGAACTTTGCTTAAAAAAACAAAACAAACAAGAAACCTACACAAAAATCAACAAATGACTTGATTATTTTATTCCTTTACATTTCAACAGAAATGATGAACTTGACACCTTTGAATAAAAACTTGAAGACAGCATTTGATGGATCAGAAGAGTAAGTTTAAACATTTGCATCTTGAGAACAAATCGAGATTCTAGCTAATACTGTAATATTAAACTTTGCTGCACACTGGCGTACACTTGCAATCCGAATGACATGAAATAACATTCCAACGATTTTGAATCACGATTTTGACTAAATCTTGACATTACAGGTCATAAGTATTTATAATATTTATAAGAATATAAACATGATATGAACACAGTATTTTATTTGCCTATATTTACCACCTTTTAAGGGTGGCTTCCCAATTGTTAAAAATGATCATTTGTCCCAAAATTTCATTCAAGTATGAGTACATGAATGTGAAAAAAAACTACTTTTTTGCCATGATTAACTCCCCATGCCTTATAAGCATACACTGAAGTAATAAAATTTCATGTGTACATTAGTAAATTAAGTTATTCAAGATTTTTGCTTTCTTCATTTTCCCCAATCTTCATGATTTAAATTTCCCCAATTTAAAAGCCACAGGTGGTAATTATAAAACCAAAAAAAAAAAAAAATCACTGGAACATGAATGATCAGTTTGTGTTACCAGTATGTAGCTTCTATATCTCAATACTTTTTAGCTCGACTTTACTTTAAAGTAAAAGGAGAGCTGTCCTACTCATGTCCGCGTCCAGATTACTGGTTAAAATTTTTGTGCATTAAAATATTTTTTGTTATAACTTATTTATTTCATGAGTTCAAATATATGTTCCTCATCATCTGCCACATCATATGTGATAAGGTTCATAACTCCAGCACCAATATTTTCAGAATTATCTCCCCTTGAACTTAGAATTTTCTCTGAAAATTGTTATATTTTACTATAACTTCTTTATTTCTTCAGGGATTTACTTCAGACCTCAAATGTATGTTCCTTATCATCACCCACATCATGCGCGACAAGAGTCATAACTCTAGCACTCATATTTCTAGAATTATCTCCCCTTTGAACTTAGAATTTTCTTTGAAAATTAATATATATTACTACTACTTCTTTATTTCTTCATGGATTTACTTCAAACTTCAAATGTATGTTCCTTATCATCACCCACATCATGTGTGACAAGAGTCATAACTCTAGCACCCATATTTCCAGAATTATCTCCCCTTTAAACTTATAGTTTTCTTTAAAAATTGTTATCTTTTGCTACAATTTTTTCATTCCTTATGATCACCCACATTGTATTTGACAAGGTTCTAATAACTCTGGTATCCATATTTCTAGAATTATCTCCCCTTTGAACTTAGAATTTCCTTTGAAAATTGTTATATTTTACAACAACTTTATTATTTCTTCAGGGATTTACTTCAAACTTTAAATGTTTAAATGTATGCTCCTTATCATCACCCACATCATATGTGAGAAGGGTCATAACTCTAGCACCCATATTTCCAGAATTATCTCCTCTTTAAACTTAGACTTTTCTTTGAAAATCTTTATGTTTTGCTTCAACTTCTTCATTTCTTCAGGTATTTACTTCAAACATTAAATGTATGTTCCTTTTCATCACCCACATTATATGTCTTAAGGTTCATAACTTTAGTACGCATATTTCCATAAGTATCTCCCCTTTAAATTTACAAAATTTCTTGGTCACTATCTATGACTGTATTGTGTATCTAGAATAAAATCTTTCTCCTAATTCCTGCATTATCAAAGTTCTTACTTTACTATCAAGCACTGAATGAAGTCGAGCGAGCTGTCTTACTGACAGCTCTTGTTATTACTTCAGTTATCTGTATTTTCCCTTATTGATAGACATGAATGGTGCTTTGAGAATTTTAAAGTAGCACAATTTTAGTTTAAATTTTGTTACGGTGTAAATTGTAGTGTTTGTATCACCCACGTGATGTTCATCATAGCTGTAAATATTATTTATTTTATGTTTCTGTATTAAAGACTGAAAGATGATTTAAGATCTCTGAGGAGGAAGATACGGAAGTTGGAGGAAAGAGTAGCTACTTTGGAAAAAGGAAAGAACAGTGATCCAGATGAAGAAAAACTGAAACTGGTAGAACATCTTGAAAATGATGTTCAAAAAACTTTCACAATTCTTGTTAAATCTACTTTCACAGATGATGAACTTATTAACAGTTCTCGAACAGGCAAAAGAAGTAACAAGTGCATAGGGGATCCACGCCCTCCTCTAGACTCAAAAAGACTTGAAACATTAGAGAGACTTGTGTGCTCGAAAACAAAACTTTCGAAAGAAAGTTTTATTAAAAAACTTGAAAATCTACAAAAAACATTGCGCCAGAAAATACAAAAACAAGTAGTTTAAGCAAGTTACATAAGTGTGATGACCAGTTAAATGATTAAAACAAGTTGAATTCAAATGTGTGTTATTTTACATGTACCCAAGATGAGGTTCTGTGATCACTTTCTGTCTGTTGTCAACAATTCTTTAAACAACTTCTAAATACTTGTAGATCTCTCATATTTTGCAGCCTCGAGTTCGTATTATTTCTTCATTTATTCATGAAATTTCAGAAATATCATTCATGAAGTTTTCATGAAGAAAAGCAAGAAGTGCAAATGAGACATTGAAAATATGAACAAAAAAAATCATGAATTATTCATGAAGCCTTTTTTTAAGGATTATCACTTGAATTATTCATGAAGATATATTCATGAAATCTTCATGCACTCGACCTACTCTTGAATTCATGCATTTTTCATGAATTCATCAATTCATGAATAATTCAAGAATGTGTATTTGATGAGTTGTTGATGCATTTGTCTCATTTGCACTTCAGGATTGTCTCATGAAGACTTCATAAATTAGTATTTGAAGTTTTCATGAAGACTTCAAGAATATCTCATGAAGTATGACTTAACATTTGGCAGGGGACCTGCCCTTAATTTTGGGGAAAATTACACGGTTTATTTGCAAAAGGGGTAGAAAAGATTTAATGTAAATTCAATTTTTGGGGGAAACTGCATGATTTAAAAGAAGTTTTCTTTAGGAAAAGCAGCCCTGTAACGGCCTCTGTTATAAAAGGGAAAAAAAAACCTGCTCTTATAGCAAGTTGTTGAGGGGCATTATGGGGGATTCATGCAATCATTAGTCACTCAGATTATGACATATTAACCCTTAAGGGAGCTATTTTGACTCACTAAGACTTGCATGTAAACTCCATTGGTTTTAAATCTATATTGTCAGCTTGGGTTGATGAAATTATAATTTTTCTATATTTCTTATACTGTGAAGCAATATCTAGCCTAATTAAGCTTACATTAAATGTGTTTGAAGTGATTCTGTCAACATGCTGACTCAAATTGCTGAATTAAATCAAATATAAAAAATAATATTTCACAACCAATATTCAAATTCCTTTGTATATACATATAAAATTCTTATTGTTTGTGAAAAAGCTTGCATTATCCTTAACATACCAGTAGACACAATAATATACCATAAATAGAAATAAAAAAAAATATCACAACATTTGTCATCTGACAACTTAGTGCTATAACTTCATTTATACACCACCATATACCCAAAGGAAAAAAACCTGTCATGCTAAACGATTCTTAGCAGACATTCTCTCAGCAGTATATAGATTTAACCAATCTTAGAGGGGAAATTCGGAGAAAAAAACTGAAGAATTTGCATCAAGTTTAGTAGTAAGAAAGTTAATTGGCGTGAATAACCCTCAATAAACAATAGAGAAGCTTCAATTCCTCACAGATTTTACTGATTGATGCCTGACTATAATATCTAAAATACATTGTATCAAGATTTATTGATCAATGCACTATGCAATAATAAATTGTGAAGTGGAATATAAAGCAATTTTCTGAAATAATATAAAAACCTTTCTCATAATTCAGAGACGAAATTCAAACCTCAATAAAGTTATAAAGATTAAAATGATTGAAGTGCAAGGAAATTTTCATTCTGATATTTATATAAGTCTTCAAGATACACAAAGAAAAGCAATTAAAATAATGTATTCCTATAATGTTACATACTATATCATTGTAGCATTCTGGTATACATGTAGTTTATTCTGTGTATAGGGAGACACCCTCTGTACAGCAACTTCCTCACAGCAACAAGTGTTTTATTTTTTTCTAAAGTAAGACTAATCTTTCACAAAAGATTTAACCTCTCTAAAGCAAAATGTGCTCCTCAACAACCAAAGCCTCAATGCCTCCCAAAGGACCTTACTCTGTAGAAGTTGTTTTTATATTATTTACTCAAAAAAAAAACAGATAAAAATATCTTCCATAAATCTTATAAAGAGGAGAGATTTGCAAGAGAAAAATAGAAACACAACATAATCTTATTGATCTTGTATTATATGTTATTACTGAAGATGATCATTAAACACAGAAAAAGATTTTAAGTACTTGCAGCCTAAGATTGACTTTTCCAGCTTAATAATGCATGGATGTATCACCATGTATCACCGTGTCTACTGGTATCTTTGATCGCTCCCAAGGCTGATTACTCCCTGATCCTCAATTATACCTTGTTGTGATGGAATAGTTGAAAGGTTTAACAGAGTAGCAGTGAGGATAAATATGGAAAAAAACACTCATTGTTAATTAAGCCTAATATGGATTAACTCCCACATCAACTATAACAGCTGCTGCTATTTATGTTGTTTTGTGTTGTTTGTTGGGTTTTTTTTGTATTTTTGTTTATTTTTGGGGATTTTTTTTAGTTGGACTTCTGCAAATGTCATATTCTAAAGACCATTATATAGCATACACTGTTTTAGTAAAGGGGACCATACATGCCACTTTTTATGGAAGTGTCACATTGAAGGTTCTATGATAATAAACTGTAATATCATGAAGACATTTGCAGAATTGTTAAGGTACTTAAGTTTTACCATTTTCATACCTTAATGTTGGATTCTGCTTAAGTCATGCAGTTCTTTTAAAGGGGCAATATAGACTGAAGCTTAATTGCATTAAGAATATGGAAAGGCTGAGAACCATACAATCATATATTGGCCTGTGTCTGCAACATTTTTAATTTTGCCAAATTCAGATTTCCACATTTCAATGTCTTCAGCTGTATTTGTATAGGATGACCAAAAGATGTTGCACTATATGGACATTAGTTGCAAAATTCTATGATATAGACATCATGTTGTTTAGGATTAAACCTTTTACCTTAAACATTATTTTTGTAGAGTAATATAAATTCAATAGATGCAAAATATTTTCCATTCAATTTGCTAAACAACAAGATTCTAATCAGCATCTCAAATCTATTGTTGCTTTTGACAAACTAATACTAATTTTAAGAGTGTCTCAATATGAAATTAAGATTAGTTCAAAGATGTACCACTTTTAAACCAAGTCATAAAATTGGTCTTAAACCATATAATTACTACACTAAGTATCTTAAATGGATTGACAAAATGGGAAAATTTCCAAATAATTATGAGATTCTATATAATTTTTTATTGTATTGACTCATGAGTAGCACATACAGGGTCACAATTGGAGTATGATGAGGCAGATTAATGAAGAGTTACAAATTTTTTTATCAAGACTGTTTGTTGACAGTTAGGCTTGGTTGATTGGTTGGTCGGTCCAGGCACATATCCAATGGTCTATGAGTTTCATTCCATCCATAATTTTAGTTAAAAAAAGAAGAAAATCCCATAAACCGACTGGTTTATGTGGTAATTTTACTAGTTTATGAAGAAAAATGCCACATAAAGATCAAAGAAAAAGCACATATCAACCCCAAATGTTGGCACGTCCGTCCATCCATCCGTCGGTTGGTTGGTTTATAAAATATGCTCATTTTAACACAATTTGGTATTGTCACAGCAGTCGGTCTACCTTACTGACATTTTTAAGGAAAACTAACCAGTCCACAAGTGATTGAATACTTGCTAATTCCTCTGATGAAGTGAGTGAGATACAAATGTCCACAATGTCCTCAATCAATTATTACTTTCCTCGCCATATGATCAAACCAGTACCAGGGACACCTTGATTGCAAATCTGATGCTATCTTTTAAGCTTATTGAAAGGGGGTAGAGGTGGGGGCCTTTACTGTCTTTCATTATCAGACTGACTTATAATATAACATAAAAGAGCTTTTCTTTTTTTTTTAATGTAATGCCCTTGGGTTTATTATGTCACTTTTCAAGCTTTTCAAGTTTTGTCCCTGGCCCAATATGTACATAAAGTCTATATACAAAGATCCTCTTTTACATATCTGTTTTCAAGAGCCCAATGAATAGATATTGATTTACTATAATAGTTAATACACTGCAAAATCATATGAATGGCAATTCACCACTGTTTATGCAACCACTGTTTATGCAAGAACAACAAGGAAGGGAACTATAGGCTGCATGAGCCCGGGCCTTAGTAATATGCAGAGATGGTCTTAAAGGTGGGCCCTTTAAGCTGGAAAAACAACCTTAAATGTATATGTCAGTGCTACAGTAACCTCTACTTTCCATTTTTGTCACAGAGTACAATACCTTGTCAGTCTCATTTGCCACTGCACAATGCCTTATCTACTTTTTAGCTCATAATAGACGTTACCCGGAACTCGGCAAATGTGGGTTTTTCCAAGCTAATCTGTTGGTACAAACTAACTTTTACCATTTCACTGTGAACTACTCGTCACAATAGGTTAGTCAACCTTTTTCGCTTATTTTCGAAGCTGAAACTGTAAGTTTGTTTTTACCTACGTTATTAGCTGGGAAAAACCGAAATATTCTTAATTCCGGATCTAAAATGCTGTGCAGTAAAGTAAATTATCACCACTGTGAGCTGTTATTTTAAGAGCATGACTGGTGACATGTCTGGGTTCCTGCTTGTAAATAAAAGATACATTTTTACACTTTGGGTGTTACATACAGACCCAGTCTACTCAGTCTCAGTCAATGTTGACTACCTCTGTTAGTGACAGCAAGTCATTACTAATCATTTTCATTAATACAATGGTATACAATGATATTTTGAAGTTAAAACTTAATTAAAATAATACACGACACTCAAGTCACAATCCAACATTCACATAAATAAATATACATGTACAATCTAACATTGCCTTAAGTAAAATTTGGGGTCATAATTGTCAAAGGTTATGTGTAATTTAACCTAAGAACGTATTTTTTTTTACAAAAGTCTATTTTGAATAAACAAGAAAAAGGCAGTATTCAGTATTGTGTTACACTTTCCCACTCTGACATCAAAATTTAAATGATCTGACAATTTAATAGACTGAAAATGCAGTAAATTTGCCAGATCTGGATATAATGCTGGAATTTTATTAATTCATAGTGAAAGGAAAACAAAAATCACTGGTTATTAACTGACAGCACACTGAAAATATAGTATAACTTTT